TTTTCAAAACAAAATTTTACTACGGACTTTTGTCATACTAAGGTCCCTGAGTACACTTGTATGAATTTAAAATGTAATATTGACAGAAATCAATTTTAATTAAGTTGCTTTTTGCTACAATTTTATTTTTTAACAATTTTTTTAAGTAACATTATTTCATACTTTTATGCTCAAAAGGATATTAAAAACTTCCAAGAAATCATTGTATAATATGTTTCAATACATATATAGGCATATCCTCACAAAAGGACATCATTCGTAAACAAATGTTGACGTCAATTTATGGCATTAACATTTATACAATTACGTCAACGTATATATATTATCAACTATTGTTTTATTTAGCATTCATTTTCTAGAATGTATTTTACACATATATTTAAAAAATTCTATTAAAAATAGAAATATGAGATTACAAAAGGCATAAAAAGATAAATTCTAGCTAATATTATTGATTTTAAAGATTTCGTTTCATATATAAAAAGCTTATAAAAAGAGCTTATAAATTTAATTCATATATAAATTAAATATTTTTATATAGTGATATTAAGCACATACAAGTCAAAGGAAGTAGTTGCGCAACCTTAGCTCGAAAAACAGAAAGCTGATCTACAGCCAGATAATTAGACCAGCATTACTTTATAGGTGTGTCAAAGTTACAAGTTGCTCAAAGACAGGCTCTCCGAAAACTTTTCAAAGTGTTATGGTACATACGTACGAATGACATGTTAAGAGACCTTAGAATAGATCCGGTCAAAAAATACATGTGACAAAGTCCTAAAGCTATATGTGAAAACCGACAGGTTGCCCTACTTAGCACTATCTATTCTCAGAGTAATCACTAATCGCACGGGTCAGTACGTAGATCTGAGATCAGTCATTGAATAAACATGAAGCTTATGAGGAACACACGAATTAGTCAGTGAGAAGAGTGGGACTCTACAGAAACACCCTAGCTATCAAAGAGTAAAAGTGCCAAGATGCACTAACTCGGAAAAGGTTCAATATAATAATAATTTCTGTAATGTGAATGATGACGATATGATTTTTAAAATTTATGTAAGTATGGTTTGTTAGAATCAATATTCATAAAAATACAGACATTTTTAAAAGGTATAGAATTCCATTTTTTGAAATGTGCCCGATGCTTATCAAGATCGTTTTCCTCATTTTGCATTCGTATAAAAATAAGTTTACAAAAAAATGTTTATAAATTCATTTTAATTGCATTTCTTAGCTAAATACAAATATATTAAATACGTAATCCTTTAAAAATATTATATTTAAAAATAATCCTAAAATATTTTCACAGCTTATGTACATAGTATATAAGAAAAGGCAAAAGGTTAAGAGTCTGCACTGAAAACGACACTAATAAATATTTACGTCTCTTATAGTATTAAAATTCATTTATACCATTTTTAGTGTGAATGCAAAAGTCTCGTATCCTTTCAGACATATAAATTTATTTCGTTAAAATCCTCTACGGAAAATACTTGTACAAACACATATGTCTGAAAAGTATTAAAAGTACAAAAGAAATGCTAATGCAAACAAATACTCGTAAAAACAAAAGAATAAGCAAAAGAATAGCTTAGCTAGTGCATCTAAATAAGGACTCGCAGGATACAAAATTGGCGTTAGAAATGAATTAGTTTAATGTGTGGTGATATAAAAATCTGGCTTAAGGCAACATTACTGTATCTGGCTGTATAAGATTGTGGAAAATATTAAATTAGAAAAAGAATAAATTTCAATTTCTTAATATTGTGTCAGGTCAATACCAGCAAGGATATGCTAAGAAAATAGAAAATAATAAAGTTGATAAGTCACAATAAAATGATTGCAAAACATGCAAATTGTAGAGTAAAATGTAGATACGGACCACAAGGTCTTTGTGACACAAATATAATTAGAAAAATGTCTTCGAAATGAGATGGGAAGAAGTAAATAAAATTTTTTATAAAGGTTCACTTTTGTTTGTCAATTTGAATAGTAGAGTAAAAATTTTTTTTTTTTATATTTTTTAACCTATGAAAAATGTTAGAATAGAATTTTTCTTGTTGAACGTAGCACAATTTGTCATACTCTACGTATGAGTGACAAATAATAAATTTACTTGCAAAAAGGCACACAAATTGTCAGTCAGTCAGTCAGTGAGGCAGTAGACTTGGAACAAATACAACTTCTATCTTGCATACAACATTGCGTTTGAGTAGCATTTCGCAGTATTAAAAACGACCAAAAGCCATTTGCTTATTAAGCAAATAACGTATAAAAACATGACATTAAATTATCAATTATAATTAAAATGTTTATGAGGACAAGCGTAAAAGTTTTTGCAGTTAAAACATGTCGAAGCCATATGTTAGCTAATATCTAAGCTTCAACATTATAATTTTGAACATGTGTTTTAGCACATAATTTAATTAAATATTTTAAATGTTAGATTTTCCACATGAAGTTGCAGATTAAATGCTGCCGAAAATATGTGTTTATTTTGTATCTATTGCATGGACAAATATATGAGTCTACGGTGGTAAGTCAATGCGGTGGCCACAGTTTTATACAGTTGACTCCACTATTATTTTCCTTTTTTACATAAAAGTGTAAATTTCCGCATTTAAATTCATTTAAAACTTATTTTGTGTAAATACTAATTTCTCTCATATGTTTCAATATTTATTTTTATTAGACAATTTGAATAGAGTTCATTATCAATTTACAACTTTCCATTAAAGCCAATAAAATTTTAATTAAAAATTTTTTGTTTCTACACAGAAATGATAAAGAGCATAATTTTGAAAGCAATTAAAACGGTTGAATTCCACCATCAGATAAACTTAAATTTAATTTAGTAACAATAAACAGCAGCATTTGCTAGAATAGCACAAACCCACAATTGCATTGTAGGAAGGATTGTACTAAATGTTAAACTAGACGCCACTTAGGTTAGGCACGTTTATGCCACAGTGAACGAGAACACAACAACAGCTTAATTAGCACAACTTTGAATCTCAAACGCAAGAAACCAGCAGTATAACTGGCCATAACTGCGATGCATTTAAGCAAAAAGGTTAAGCGTAGCAAAAAAGGCTTACATAGACTCTAGGGTATAACCAGGCAATAATGTGTGAGAACGCAAAAATACACCATCGAGCCGTACAATAATTTATATAAAACTTAGCCGACATTGCTGTTGCCGCAGGCCAGAGCAGTAAAAAGGATTTATACATTTGACTTACTGGTGTGAAAACAGTTTAGAGCTACTTAGAGCCAGCTTATATCATTATACTTAATTAAGCTGTGATGCTGTTGCAGAGAACAACGAATTATTAACTAAGCTGTAGATTTATTAAATTTGTTACCAAAAATGATAAATCATTTGTGTGGACTTGTTGATGACTTGACAATGCTGAGTAAAGCAAAATTTTAACATTAAAAACTCAGACATTTTGCTCCTTATTTTTTGCCTTATCATTTAATTTTCACTTAATGGCCATTATGCAAATTGAATATGAGCCAATGAGAACCGACCCATAGCAACGCAACACAAGCAGCTACGAAATGTATACTTGGCGAATTTACTTTTGCGCAAAAATTACAAAGGGAAGTATGATAGTCCCTTGGCGATAACAATAATTCACAGATTTAATTTATAAATCTTTCGTTGTCCAACAGAAATTAAAAAGCAATCGTTGATATCGTTGATAAAATGGTGGTTGGCATAAGGCAATAAAAGTGAAATAACAAACAAGTCGTTTTCGTATGGAATACGCGCCTAAAAGGCGACAACAAGAAATTTTTATTACATGCAGATTAACTTTATGTTGCCAAGGAGCCTTCTGTCGTCGTTATGTGTTACGGATAAGGACTACAAAAGTACATGAATATTAATTTTTACTATTTTGCACAAATGTATGATTACATAAATCAAGAAAAAAATCTTTATGTTCGCCAAAAGTATATAAAAATACATAAACTGAGTATTATGTATTTCTATGTACATATCATATATTTTATAATATAAAAGCTTAAAGTCATATGCGTTAAAGAAATAAATAAAATACATAAATAAATAAAATACATGAATATATATAACTTTTATCAAGAAAAAAAGTTACAAAATTAGTTTTGTTTCTCATTTTTTAAAATATAAACTATAAATTATAATACGCCACGGCGGTGTTAAATCATTGAAATATTTAATATAACATCATCTGTTTTCCATTTTTAAATAAATAAAATTCATGTTATTAATTGAACATCCTTTATGTAATACGTTGTAAAAAAATTTATATACTTTATCTTAATAAACTTTTCCGTTCAACTCTCATAAAATCATTAGACGTGGATATGTCTTGAAACTGATCACACGAACAGAAAAATTTGAAATGTTGTTGTGAAGACAATACGAAAAGGATGCAAGTTACTCTATACGTATGATATGGGTCGCTTAAAATAAAAAAAAACAGTGCAACTAGTTTGTTTGTTTCGTCAACTATTATCACTGTCTTATAGGCAGAACTTGTAACCGAAAAGGGGTTACTTTCAAGTACTACGACTGTAGTTTTGTATGAGAGAAGAAGAAGAAAATGTGCAGAAGGTATATATCCATTCTAGAATCTCTCTTTTCTAAGGTACTGTCCGATATTACTAGTG